CTTCAAATTTGCCCTATGATTCGGTAAATGCTAAAACTATAAGACCACTCGGTCTCATAGACGACGTCTTCATTTTACGGCATAATGGACTATCGAATCGTAGTCACTGACCTCGTAGTCTGATTATTAGCACATCAAATACAACAGACGTTTCTGATATACATTACCTTTGCCCTCACAAGTAGAGGTGTTTCAGGATTTGGTGCATTGTATTCAATCATTTCAATCCCTTGACTTATATTGATTTGAAGGCTGAATGTCGAGAGTAACGTAGGAAGCAAGCCCTGACCTGGCATTCTCCGTGTCATATCACAAATCTTGGGAAGATTGTTGCAGAGACTGTAGGGGTTGTCAATCTCTGACGAGCAACTGGAATATATATCCTTCTTCATAAATGGTGCGGTAAGTATTTTGTGCATTAGGGAGGATGTAGACGGTACGGTTATTTGGGTTGGCAATAGAAACCGAACTTCCCGCTACTGAGGTGACTGTGACCTGGGTCGTCARCAATTTTTGGGACTCTCTATTTTCATATTYTCTCTKAGGAAGGAACACCTTCAAACTTTTGATAAACGGAACAGTTGTTTCTCCAGGTAATAGCCATCTATTCTTTTTCATCCATAACAAATCATCACGTATTTTAAAGATWACCTTCTCCCCCCTGGCGAGGGCTTGCAAGTCAATAATACCAGTGTCTCCTTTAGAGATTGCCCGGGTGGGTATGTACACATGTCTTTCGATCTCATCGTGGGGTATCTGGTCCGTATAAGAAATAAGTGATTTTATGTGTTCTTGTCTAAAGATACCATCAGTCGTTGCACAAGGYCGYATTGGATTACCAAGCTGCTTGTATTCGAGTACGTCACAGTAAACGGAAGCAACAGTTTGTATTTTGTATTGCATTAGGAAGAAACCGGTCATAAATTRGCTTGCTTCCAGAGTATCATGCTTTCCTTGAATTTTCGTTGCAAATCTTTTGGCTACGTTTCCACGAATGATCAAGGCWAGTTGRTCGACTAGTTGGAATTGAAAATCAAATATGTCCTCTCTCAAGGTAAAATACTGAGCAAGAGTTCCTTCGAGTCTTTCACACAAAAGTTTGCCACCAGCGATGGACTTAGGAATTGCACCGCCTATTCCAACGTCCCCATTCAGCAAGTCACATATTGCACCAGTAAAAGAGGACCACAATGCATCGTTCTTAGCGAGTGATGATCGATCGGTTTTCGGAGTGTACTTTCCATATTCATCTACAAATAACATGGCATCTTCACCTACATCGTCACCATGGCCACTTCGTATCTTAGTTACAACTCTAGTTAGGGATGTTATCTGTTTGAAATTCCCTCCAAATGCTTGTATGAGCTTTACAGAGTCTTGTGCTAGCTGTGTCATGCCTATAAACAATGCTGTTCCTTTGACTAAATCCGTTGCTGCATTTGCAACATTGCCAGTTTGATCGATGACATCCGATACATCTGGTCCAGTAAAGATTAACTTCAAAGGATTACTATTTTGTGCTATAAGGACGGCTAGTTTTGCGGCCTCTTCAGCTAAATTGGCAGATACCACACCTATCATGAGTTTCATAGCTTCTTGTATATCGGAACTAAGTTTGGTTTGGACATCTGATAAAGACTTCTCAAATTTGTCTAGGTCAGTTTGAATGGCAGCGATATCATTTGCTGCTATGCCTACGTCAAACTTAGCAAGACCTTCAAAATGTTGGGAGATTCCAGCCACAGATGCTTCTAAATTGTCGTTGAGCATCCTAATGCCGCCTAGTAACTCAACATGCTTGACATCATCTTTCTGTNTCCTTGTATTTCAGCCTTAGTCTCATTTCCTCTTGTGAAATTTGAGGCTTTTTTGGTCTTGCTCTATACCTGCTAGGATATACAGGGTGACCAAAGTTAAACCTCTTATGTCCTTGAGAATCTGACACTTGATAGCGCTTGTTGGAGTAAAGAGTGTTGGATGCAGGACAGGTGAGAACATCACGACATATATTTGTTGGGGAGATATTTTTTAGATCTGTAAGGCGACGAGGATCAGGGTGCTTGTATGCCTTAAGAGAATTGCAGATTGATTTGAATGAAAATGACGATGTCATTATTATACTTTTCTTAATCAATGTTAGGAGGGTGAATGCGCGCCTTTCGTTATTATGAGACAATGTGAAGCTTGCCATCAGAGGATCAGAAGTGCCGTATTTGACCTCGTCTTGTTCGATAGTTGTCTTAAGCATGTTGAGTGAAGGTCTTGCCTGGGGTACCCCTCTGTTCGATTCCATGAACTCTATAGTGGTCTTTTTTAGATCTTTCAGAGTTTCAATGAACGTTGTCAGAGAATCAATACGACTGATGGTGTTTTTCATGGAGACCATCTGGTTGTTCATTCGTTTTTTGGATCTAATGAGGCGGGATAAGGCCGAGGATAGATCACTTTGTTGACACTTGACTTCAGAAGACACCACAATAATCGTGATGAGTAACAGTGGATGCATCTTGGTCTCAATCAAGATCTCCCTTAAACAACTACTGCAATAAAAAAAGTTCATTCGTTTAAGTCAATCAATGTGAAAGCAAGAAACAGTAAGAAACAGTTGTCTAAACAGATAAAAAAATAAACGTCAGGCAGTCGACTTTTTTTGAAAAATCGTCGAAACAACTGTAATTTCAATTAACAAAAACAAGGGAAATGAAATAAAGGCCGAAATGGTACTGTTCGACAAGTTTGTATGCACAAGCACGGAACGCTGAGTTTCACAACTAAACGTCAGGCAGTCCATTTAAAAAAAGTCGTCGGGACAATTTGATTTTAAATACAACAAGGGAAATGCAATATAGACTGAAATATATAAGGGGGATTGTCAGAAACTATGTAAGATGGGCAAAATATAATGACCCTCCCCCCTCAACCCTAGGCAGTTGATTAGGACATTTGATACATCTATTTTCACATCTATTTTTTTCACAGCTTATACATTTGATATACTTTGTTGTTGTGGCTATTTGAGCCTGATCTGTTTATACTGTGAACCAATTATTATTATTATTACTATCAACTGCCTATCAAACATACAAATATACAGACAATGGCCTGGCCAATTACATGCCCTGCACCATCATTCACTGCTGCTTAGGGACAATGATAAATTTTTGTGGTGATGATTGAAGGGGAAGAGAGGGGAGGATCAAAACATTTTACCCGCCTGTCATAGGGTTAGAAAGTTTCACTTCCACTACTTTAGTGTAAGCCACCTTATTCCCAGTACTCACTTTTCCATTTCCAAATTTCTTCTCCCAGCTAATTTCTGACAAGTCCCTCATATACACCACCACCCCCGAACCCCCGCCTCCAGCTAATTTCTGACAAGTCTCTTATCTCGGTCTTTATTGCATTTTTTCTTGTTGTATTAATTGAATAACAGTTGTTCCGACGATTTTTTTCCCGAAAACAAAATCGACTGTCTGACGTTTAGTTCCTGTTGTGTATACAAACTTGTCAACAGTACTAGTATTATTTTGGTCTTTATTGCATTTTCCCTTGTTGAATTAATTGAAATTACAGTTGTTCCGACTAATGTTTCAAAAAATCGACTGCCTGACATTTATTAGCTCTGGGACTAAACGTCAGACTGTATAGACACTCCGTAAATTTATTATCTTTTCACTCAAAAGTAAAAGCAGACTTTTTATATGTATTCTCACTTGCAGAGCAAGATTTTCAATGCTATTTCTCCCGAGATCAGTGAGATAATAAGACTATAAGATATATCCTGGCGATATAMGTCTACTAGAATTAAAGCAGTCCCCTTTTAAGCAATCGCCCAATAAAAGAAACCAAGTTTGCTCTGTTCTCTCTCTACTTTTACCCTCTATCAACCTGTAATGAAAGGCCACTGTATCTATTATATTGAGGAAATATTTTGCTAATTGTGTACTTGTGCGCATCTTACATACAAGTTAGATTTTAGTTCTAAATGTACGAATTTTCACACAATATTTCAACAGGCAGGTTTCTAGTAGAACTGTGATTTCTTAAAGCTAATTTGGATTTGAAATTGGAGCCACAGTTCCTGTATGACTCCCCTCTAATGTTTGTTCACCCCCCTAAATTTATGCACTATAAATCCACGATATGTCTGGACTATTTCTCTACAATTTTGCTTTTTTTCAGATTATTTAAACCAGAAATTTAAAAATAAGGCGTGGAAAGARACTGAGCTTCAATGGAAGTGTCTGCGAAAATGTAACCTGTAACTTTCGTCCTCCGTTACAAGCATTTGCCGGTGAATGTCAGGTCTTGGATTAAACACCCTGAAAGACGCCACCTGCGTCAGATTCCTAAAGCAAGAAGCAATTTGATCCCYCTRCTGAATACCCAATCAACCACAACACTTAGAAAAATGATCACAAAAATAACGACAGTACAAATAGGAAATCGTGAGAAACTATGTGTGGCATATGCGAATAACTGGATTATAATGGATTATAACTAATTTATATGTTGTTTTTAATTTTGTCTATATTAACCTATTCTAATTATTCTTTTATTTAAACTGAAAGCATTTATAGCAGAATGTTTGTTATGAATATACACGTGATTTTGAGAAAACTAGTTCAAACTAGTGATGATAAGAATCAGATTAGAGAATAGGCCTTTTGCATGAAACGGTCACATGGTACAAAATCCGCCATACTGGATGGCAAAATACCCACTGGGATTTTCAAAACAAAGAAAAGTCAAGCTTGACGGGCTGCGTTCCTTTTGTTTTTGAGGTTGTTTGCCATCCAGTATGGCGGATTTTGTACCATGTGACCGTTTCATGCAAAAGGCCTATTCACCGAATAACCTTGGAAGGAACACCCCAGGTTTCTACTTTAAAATGCGCAGCGAAGCCCATCCTTCTTTATGTTTATTGTACACAAGTTTTGTTAATAGAAAGTGTTGTTCAGTTTGTGTAAATCTGTCAAGTTGTGCACCGAGGTCGATGAAAACTGATTGTTGCATTTGATATATCTTACCTCGACGATGTAACCTCTTATACACTGGAAAACCTACTACGAGCTCAAAATGAAAAGCGCTTACTAGCTATATTTCAGGTTAAAATGGGACACTATTTAAGCGCATAGAGTTTTTTTTACTGAGAACTCTGAGTCATACAATCCTTAAAGAAGCTGTAATGGGGAGGAGCTGGTCCATCTTTCCGATCTCCTTGACGAAAGATCCAGTGCCCATTTTGATTGGTTCTATAAGATGAAAAAAAAGTAATAACTGTCATGATCTTGTCCAAGATAAATTTTTTGCATTCTTCATTTCGAYATTCTCATTGTGGTCCCTTTGAAAGTCTGACCGGTTGACTGACAAAATGTTAAAAAAGTTTTTTGTCAAAGACTGTAATTTACTTAGCAGGCTTAATCCCAATGAAGCTGTCAAAACATGTGATTACAGTCAAAACACCTGATTACTGTCAAAAAGACCATCTCTCAGGCCCGTCTATAGTTTGCCTTTTAAAATTTCTCCACATTGCTCACTGGCCACCGCTCCTCGTTCGATTGCTTTGTTTAAGATGGGGGGGGGGGGGGGGGGGGGGGGGGGGGGACCTACATAGCACGCAGTTGATGTAATGTATTCATAAAATGTATTGTATTTCATTGTTTCTCGTTCTATTGTATTATGTGTTTTGTATTATATCTTTATGAATATATATTACATCAACTGAGTGCTATGTAGGCTCTCCCGTTTAAGATGTCCTCAAGCCTAATTCGCTTTGCTCTGCCTACAGTTGTAAAATTGTTGCAGCAATGTTGTGCCAGTCTCAACTGTCTCATACACCCTCTAAAGTACGAACTCAGGAGAACAAGGACATTCAACACTAAGTTCAATACCAACAGAGCAAAGAATTGTTTCSTCACCTTTCRTAGCAATTCCTTTAACAATAATAAAATGTGAAGTAACTAGTGTATATAGTACATTGTATAGGTCCTTTTATAGGCTTTATATAGTCCTTTTATTCTAATTAGTCTAATTCTTACATTGTATATAGTAGTCTTTTAATCAACTAGTTAATGTATATTATAGTTTTATTATTGTCATTATTATTATTATTATCACATATTTTTAAGTTAGTACGTATTGTACGCAATTTAGCAATTTTTGCTACCATGTACATAAATAAAGCTTCTATTCTATTCTTCTATTCTATTCTATTCTATTCTTCTCATTATAATGTTTTCTAAGCTACCATTTTCACCATATTCTGGATGTCCTAGCCAAGATGTGATTACAAACGTAGATAATTTATAAATAAGTACTAACATCAATATTTCAAATTTCCCAAGAAAATACTTTGCAACAAACATAAATGTCCGCTCTATAATAGTTGATTTAATGTACAGTTAGCTGTAGATCCTTGTCCGACGTCATGAGGTATTCTTGGTCCAAAAAGAGTAGTTATTTTTAAAGTTCCACTTTGCTTGTTTTACGATATATATGAAATGAATCCTTGATATTTTCTCTCGATTCGCTTGMTCGTTAACGTCTTCCAAGAAAACTACTTGAATCTTTGGGAAACGGTATAAGACTACGTACGCTATTCACAGGAAACTGTGAGGAATCCCGCACTTTCAAACGAGATCCCTTCCTTTTGCCAGTACTCCATAATTAGTTTCAACTTGACTGGATGGACCCCTTAGATTCTYCATAAAGTACGTACAATTGATGAATTTTGGCWGTAAAACCTAGCTGCGTCGGTAAAAAGACCGTAMCCAGCTGCCCCACGTTGGGCGCCAACTGTAACAAACTGCAGATATGTACTTTATACTTCAATGTGCGGGAGGCTAGCTATCCGTCTACCACACTTCACATGCAGAGACCGCGACTATCTATATGCTATATGCTATATGCTATATGCTATATGCTATATGCTATATGCTATATGCTATATGCTATATGCTATATGCTATATGCTATGCTATATGCTATATGCTATATGCTATATGCTATATGCTATATGCTATATGCTATGCTATATGCTATATGCTATATGCTATATGCTATATGCTATATGCTATATGCTATGCTATATGCTATATGCTATATGCTATATGCTATATGCTATATGCTATATGCTATGCTATATGCTATATGCTATATGCTATATGCTATATGCTATATGCTATATGCTATGCTATATGCTATATGCTATATGCTATATGCTATATGCTATATGCTATATGCTATGCTATATGCTATATGCTATATGCTATATGCTATATGCTATATGCTATATGCTATGCTATATGCTATATGCTATATGCTATATGCTATATGCTATATGCTATATGCTATGCTATATGCTATATGCTATATGCTATATGCTATATGCTATATGCTATATGCTATGCTATATGCTATATGCTATATGCTATATGCTATATGCTATATGCTATATGCTATGCTATATGCTATATGCTATATGCTATATGCTATATGCTATATGCTATATGCTATGCTATATGCTATATGCTATATGCTATATGCTATATGCTATATGCTATATGCTATGCTATATGCTATATGCTATATGCTATATGCTATATGCTATATGCTATATGCTATGCTATATGCTATATGCTATATGCTATATGCTATATGCTATATGCTATATGCTATGCTATATGCTATATGCTATATGCTATATGCTATATGCTATATGCTATATGCTATGCTATATGCTATATGCTATATGCTATATGCTATATGCTATATGCTATATGCTATGCTATATGCTATATGCTATATGCTATATGCTATATGCTATATGCTATATGCTATGCTATATGCTATATGCTATATGCTATATGCTATATGCTATATGCTATATGCTATGCTATATGCTATATGCTATATGCTATATGCTATATGCTATATGCTATATGCTATGCTATATGCTATATGCTATATGCTATATGCTATATGCTATATGCTATATGCTATGCTATATGCTATATGCTATATGCTATATGCTATATGCTATATGCTATATGCTATGCTATATGCTATATGCTATATGCTATATGCTATATGCTATATGCTATATGCTATGCTATATGCTATATGCTATATGCTATATGCTATATGCTATATGCTATATGCTATGCTATATGCTATATGCTATATGCTATATGCTATATGCTATATGCTATATGCTATGCTATATGCTATATGCTATATGCTATATGCTATATGCTATATGCTATATGCTATGCTATATGCTATATGCTATATGCTATATGCTATATGCTATATGCTATATGCTATGCTATATGCTATATGCTATATGCTATATGCTATATGCTATATGCTATATGCTATGCTATATGCTATATGCTATATGCTATATGCTATATGCTATATGCTATATGCTATGCTATATGCTATATGCTATATGCTATATGCTATATGCTATATGCTATATGCTATGCTATATGCTATATGCTATATGCTATATGCTATATGCTATATGCTATATGCTATGCTATATGCTATATGCTATATGCTATATGCTATATGCTATATGCTATATGCTATGCTATATGCTATATGCTATATGCTATATGCTATATGCTATATGCTATATGCTATGCTATATGCTATATGCTATATGCTATATGCTATATGCTATATGCTATATGCTATGCTATATGCTATATGCTATATGCTATATGCTATATGCTATATGCTATATGCTATGCTATATGCTATATGCTATATGCTATATGCTATATGCTATATGCTATATGCTATGCTATATGCTATATGCTATATGCTATATGCTATATGCTATATGCTATATGCTATGCTATATGCTATATGCTATATGCTATATGCTATATGCTATATGCTATATGCTATGCTATATGCTATATGCTATATGCTATATGCTATATGCTATATGCTATATGCTATGCTATATGCTATATGCTATATGCTATATGCTATATGCTATATGCTATATGCTATGCTATATGCTATATGCTATATGCTATATGCTATATGCTATATGCTATATGCTATGCTATATGCTATATGCTATATGCTATATGCTATATGCTATATGCTATATGCTATGCTATATGCTATATGCTATATGCTATATGCTATATGCTATATGCTATATGCTATGCTATATGCTATATGCTATATGCTATATGCTATATGCTATATGCTATATGCTATGCTATATGCTATATGCTATATGCTATATGCTATATGCTATATGCTATATGCTATGCTATATGCTATATGCTATATGCTATATGCTATATGCTATATGCTATATGCTATGCTATATGCTATATGCTATATGCTATATGCTATATGCTATATGCTATATGCTATGCTATATGCTATATGCTATATGCTATATGCTATATGCTATATGCTATATGCTATGCTATATGCTATATGCTATATGCTATATGCTATATGCTATATGCTATATGCTATGCTATATGCTATATGCTATATGCTATATGCTATATGCTATATGCTATATGCTATGCTATATGCTATATGCTATATGCTATATGCTATATGCTATATGCTATATGCTATGCTATATGCTATATGCTATATGCTATATGCTATATGCTATATGCTATATGCTATGCTATATGCTATATGCTATATGCTATATGCTATATGCTATATGCTATATGCTATGCTATATGCTATATGCTATATGCTATATGCTATATGCTATATGCTATATGCTATGCTATATGCTATATGCTATATGCTATATGCTATATGCTATATGCTATATGCTATGCTATATGCTATATGCTATATGCTATATGCTATATGCTATATGCTATATGCTATGCTATATGCTATATGCTATATGCTATATGCTATATGCTATATGCTATATGCTATGCTATATGCTATATGCTATATGCTATATGCTATATGCTATATGCTATATGCTATGCTATATGCTATATGCTATATGCTATATGCTATATGCTATATGCTATATGCTATGCTATATGCTATATGCTATATGCTATATGCTATATGCTATATGCTATATGCTATGCTATATGCTATATGCTATATGCTATATGCTATATGCTATATGCTATATGCTATGCTATATGCTATATGCTATATGCTATATGCTATATGCTATATGCTATATGCTATGCTATATGCTATATGCTATATGCTATATGCTATATGCTATATGCTATATGCTATGCTATATGCTATATGCTATATGCTATATGCTATATGCTATATGCTATATGCTATATGCTATATGCTATATGCTATATGCTATATGCTATATGCTATATGCTATATGCTATATGCTAT